ATATATATATAACATATATACATATATAATTAATGTATACAAATATGTTCATTGTCTTATTAATATTTTCGGAATAAGATATGTAAACCAGATGTATAATATGAAAATTGATTCGGATCAAATAATGCATTTCATAATAATATTGCCACCTTATTGTTGTAAATGGATTATACTACTCAGTCGGGATAACGAGCAGATTAATTTCATTGATGGTCCGATTCATTATCTGATGCTAATTTGAGATTGACATTACATGAGGTCATTATACTTGCATCAACATGACCCATATATTGGCAATAATATCTTACAATTATTATTAATAAAGTGCATAACAATCAATACATTTACAATTAAAATTGAAAATTGCATACTATAATCGTGAATAACTCCAATTGTACGAAAATAAAATTGACACAATATGACAAGTGAGATTTATTATTCTAAGGGAAATTGTTTTATATCGTTATTACCACATAAATTCCTAACTTAAAAATTTATTAAACAAAACGTTCCGTTATTGTTACCAAAATGATTAAGCTAATGATTAAGCTGTAACATCAACATTATCGAATTTTATATACTGTGTTAATATAAACGTATCAAAATTTTAAACGTTAAAGTCGATTTGAAAAATTATTGGCTCAAATTATGTTTAATTTTTAAATTAATCTCACAATATTGAATGTTTCAGGGCGGACATAGAATATTCATCGAATTCAACGAAAACATACTTGAGGATACCTGAGGTTCAACTGGGAGACGAGGGTTTGTACAAGTGTGAAGCTACGTATCTGGCGGTCAACCGCGAGTGCAACAACGTGCAGCATATTATCCTTAACGTTACAGGTGCGTTGCATTACATTATACAGTATTACCAGATTAACATTTTCGGAGTAAAATTAAATTTTTATCAAGATGCGAGAGAGAAAGAGACAGAGAGAGAGAGAGAGAGAGAGAGAGAGAAAAATGATATTAAAATTTATACTTTCAAAAGTATGATATAATAGAGAAAAATATCAAGATACGCAATATGATTTTTCGGCGTTCTATTACAAAGTATATAAAGATTTTTCGGACATACCACGTGGAGAGGATAATACCGAAAGATTTACGGAAACTATTTTAAAACTTTCCGCGTAACTTTTTCCATAAATTACATGCGATGTTTTTAACCGTACGACTTCTGTTTGTTATGCAAGTTTGTTATGCTCTCCAGTATTACGTTCATACGTCAGAAACGTGGTCGCAAATAGCTTGCATTATTGAAAAGGCAATACGGAATACGAAGTAACACATTTCATTATTTATCTTAAGTATACGGAAATCTGTACTTCCGTTTTTTTCTCGTGACATATTCTTTTTTATTACGAAGCAAATTTAACATGATATTTCTCAAAAGTAATATGATAGCACAATATACTTGTACCTCATGACATTTCTCATGGTATGATACATGGAAACACATTTACGATATACGTACTATGCTCGGAAAGGTGATAGCATGTGTAAGTCGGAAGTATAGCGTAGGACTTGCATTCCATAAATCAGGTAATGTTTATTTCAAACTAACGGTTACATGCGATCGTTCTCGCCAATATTTCAATTTTGCATACAGTCGAACGATAGACAACCTTACGGATGGCCCTTTCACGAGATTGGCAAGTAACGATGTGCTTTTTAAAATGCTCTTTTTTGAAAATAGAAGACTAATTTACATTTTGCTGCTGCTCGTACTAGAAGTAAAACATCAGGATTGCGCACAATTCACATTCTTTTCCTTTTCGTACGTAACAATTTTATGCAGCAAAAACTCAACATTTAAAAATAAAGAGAAAAATAAAAAAATCTGATAAAAAATATTATTACAATATAGATATTAATAATGCCTTTCATTTCAAGTAACAACTATATTTTACTGGAAAAAATAATTAAAAACAAATAAAATATTCGAAATAATTGTTCTATGGACGTTAATTATGCTCTTTGAATTCTCGCGAATTACATATTTTTGCTTTGGTTCAAATTCTCCTCTCTAGTTTCAAATGTTTTTGTACGATTATCTACATTTCAGTTGGTTTATAATACATACGGAAAGATACATACGGAGTATGGAAGTGTCTGCATTCCGCTCTGTGTACAAAGTACTTCATTTTCAGTAATCGCGGATTGTTATCCAGGTTAAATCCATGTTAAATTATACATCGATAGCTCGAGTTAGATCGGATGACTCTTAACTTCGCAAAGAGTTAATATCGACAAGTCGAGCTCAAGTTAGTTAGTCCCCATTGGTGCGACATCTCACGTACTCTGGATAAATGGAGTTATTTGATAATTCTTGGTTTAACATTTAAGTTAATCTCGTAAACGCATTATAGGACCGTTTAACGGTTAAATAACTTCATTGTCATACGATTATTATCAGTTATTTATCAGATTAATAATTTATTATCACACCGGTGTGTGTGTGTGTGTGTGTGTGTGTGTGTGTGTGTGTGTGTGTGTGTGTGTGTGTGTGTGTGTCGTGATTTACCATTGCCAATTTATCTCATATTAAATCTGTATAGAATCCTTGCAAAGGAGAAGTTGCAGGATAATTACAAAATGTCAAAAATTAAACGCATATGAAATATATATATTCTACAATGTTAGATGAGTTTTATGAATGAGTTTTATGAGGAAGTTTATTAATATCTAGATATTAAAGCAAGAAGCAAACGTAATGAATTTTATACGTTTTTATATTAAATAATAAATAAAAGAATAGAAAAACGAAGATTTTGCTTGTAATTAATGCGGTTTTATTAAATCGTATTTTGCATGTTTTTATATTAAATAATAACGAAGATATCAATTATAAAATATGAAAAAGATTTTATTTATATAATGAATGCATTAAATTAAATATAAATAAATGTATTGGATGATCTAAAAAATATCAGATATCATTCAGGTTTTTTTCTTCTTTTACGTCTTATCTGCTACATTAGAGTCGGAAGGTGCGATAGTGGTTTATAATTATCCGGCACGGAATTTCGAGTTAATTGTGTTACTAAATAATAAGGATACTTAAATTTTGAATAATACAAGATCTCCTCAAATTTATCAGATGGGATCTTACATCTGCCAACCACAAGCTTCTTGCGAAGCACATCCTCCATTTAAGTATTGTTGTATCTACATTATCTTATGTTATCTTTGCAAGTTTATGAAGAATGAGACAATTCTCCTGTAGTGGTTTATTCAAGGAACGTAGCGATTTTCTGCGCGCGTATACGCGAGCCATCACCGCGACGGACGTGAATAGAATCACTGTGTATACAAAATTCTGGCTGCTGATCTGTCTTCTTCGCTGTCGTGCACCGTGCCTCGTGACATCATGGCGAGTTAAACGAGTAAGGTGGAGAGGAGTTTTCAAGTGTGTAATCGCGACATTGTACCTATACATGTACACATAAGCAGCATTCAGAAACTTTTGTCTCTCACAATAGGGAATCATATTCTTCTTAAAGTTTCAAAAGCGAACTGTCTTGAAAATTAATTTTATGATCCAATTAAAAAGATAACACTGGTAATCACTCTTAAAATTTCTGAACTACGCAAATTGGGTGAACTCAAAGTATACTCTATGTATATTTTACATTATTACTTATTAGTATTGTTTTCATCATTTATATATTAAGGACAATTGCGATATTCTTTTGATGAAGGAAATAAGAGTTTTATCGTCAATTTTTCATCAGGGCAAATTTTAAATAAGTATTTCTTTTATATAGCCCTTTTAAGAGATTCTCCAACTTTTATCGTTTTGATTGCAAAACCAATTGAAACACGAACAGAACACGAAAGAACTTGAGAAAAGTTGCTCTTGGCGCATAACTGATTGTGACTTCAATTTATCGAATTTAAAGTGCCTTGCGAATTTATATATTGAAATGCTTTCCTACAAGAACGAACGTGTCTTGAATTCTATCACGAAACGTAATTTTACTGTATATTTAGTTATTTTCGGATCTATATATACAATTACGAAATGATGAATGTTTATGCAATCCGGAAATAGCACATGGATATTTTCTTTTAATAAATTCAAGTAAAAAGATAAACTTTAAATTATTACTGTTTTTTTTTAAGAAAAATACTAGAAAAGGACAATTATATTCTAATAAAAAATTAAGGTTTCATTAATATTTTTAAGATTGAAATAACAAAATGATGAAACAATTAGCATCTATAATGATTGCAAAAGGAACAACTGTTTTATTAAGGAACAACAAATTTATTTAAACGCTGTTTAGTCGACTTATTTATGTATAATTCTTTTTGATTATTAATTTGAATTTCAATAATAATAATGATTTTAAGTCAACAATCTCAAATTAATATATAATTTTAGTAATGTTTCTTTGTTCTTTCACGTTAAGTGCCTTATATTCTTTCACATTAATTGCCTTACAAATGATTTAATTGCACAGTGGAAGAAAGAAATGAAAAAAATTAAAAGAAGATAAATACGTAACATTATTTTTCTTTAACTATAATTTCATTAATCTACCAACTTGTGTACTAAAACAAAGCTATACGGGAAAAGAATTATTTTAAGAATAATGATAATCAGATATCAATTAGATTAAATTAATTTTATAAAATAAACTAATATATATTTCGTAAAAAATTTATAAATCAAGAAGAAGTTAGAAGTATGCAAATTAAAAATATCGTAATTAAAAAAATAAAGATTTATTGACAAAATGCTTAATATTAAAAATAATTTATATTTATATTTGGAGGAAATATCAAAAATTTGAACGTAATAAAAGAAAATAATAAACGTAAAAATATTTTGCAAAAAAATTGCGTAATTAAGTTCTTAATTTATCTAAATTGTTAAGATTGATATTTATGAAAATGTTCATGACTAAGTAGCGCCAATTTCGATAAAATATAGGATGCACGTCGTACCCATTATACCGCAGCGTGGTGAAGCGACAACGTAAAAGTAGCTTGCGAGCTCTCTTGCGACAGGCGTCGACATTAATCTACATAGAAGAGCACAGCATGAAGCTGTGCGCGAAACAGTATCACGTATCACACCCGTACCTTTCTGTACTTACATACACAGAGTTGCCGGATTATCCGAACACCTCATTCTAGCTAGGACATCACGCTGCAGATTTATTGTCCAATAGGTAATATTATCAGGAAAGTAAAATGTGTGTCCCAACAAGATCAAGACAAAAATAAGAATTTTTGAGATTCGATTATTTTTAAGACAGTTCAAGCCAGAAACTTAAGTTCAGATCTTTTTATATTTTTGGATTAGCATATATATATATATATATAAAAACAGCGAAAAAGTAAATTTATTATATAAAATTTGTTGAAAATTTTATATTTTGCATATGAAAATTATCATATTATTGTTATATTATAAATGTTATGTTATGATAAAATCGTGAATTTTTCTGTTGGAACACAGAATACTTAGTTGTGCTTTATGTCATTTATCTAACTACTTATTTGCACTAGATTGTGCCATTACAAACGTATAAAGCTCTGCAAAATAGCTGCTGGTAAACGCTTTTAACACGACGTCGTTGCACGAATGCTTTTATACTAAGATTATAGTGAGCAAGGTATGTAATACGTGAAACGCTGTTTCTTCTTGCTTTTCATACGTGCTCCGTTTTGCGGGCCGTCTTTCTTTTTATAGTGCAAAACTACAGACAATTGCAAGATACTTCCTTACACAGCGACGACGAAGCCGAGCGTCACATGTTCGGATTCGACGAAAGTCTCCAAAAGATCCTATCAAAATCACTTTCGCGAATTCCACAAGACGTCCAAGC